TATTTACATGGCTTACAACAGTTGTCCAAATCTAGAATATGGTAGAGCTCTATAGAAACCAGGTTGCAAACTGCCTGGATTTCTTAAATGAATAAAAAAAAATGAAAAATCTCAAAGTTCCGAATTTTTATGTGGATCTTGGGCACTAAATTTACTTAGATAACATAAAATAGTATAAATTGAAACCTTGTAAGCTTTCAAAAGTGTTGATTCATAGAGTCGCATCTTTTGTGTCCTCCTTGGAAACTTTCATCTCTAACTCCTTCTCAGTTGGAAGTCTAATTCGATAACTGTAATAGGCATCAACAAGAAAAGTAAAAATACTGCAATGATGCTGGCACAGATAAAAAGGACAAATCATGAATAAATTATATATAAAACCATTAAAAAAAAATCACGGATTTTACCCAGGGATAATGTCCTTAAAAACTGCCAATAAAGATAACAACCCAAGTTTGACAACAGAATGGTTGTCATCTGTAGAGATTTGTAGCATCTCCTTCAGAGATCTTATATTGGAATCTGGGTCTGAAAGCAAGGCCATTCCTAGCTCTGCAAGCTTACGTTTTTTACTTTCGAGCGCTTCTTCAGCTGTTAGATCTTCTTTCACCTCTGCCTGAATCAAGATAATGGATTAGGTCATATAAAATGAAGTACATGCTATATAATAGCAGGCTGAGATACTGTAACATGCCTAAAACAATGTAATGGGGAAAAAAATTCTGGTGATCACTGAAGATCTTTTATGGTACTTTCTTGAATGCTATAAAACTAAGGTGGCATTTGGACCGAAATTATACAGCTACACAAGACAAGGGGTCCAAACCCATATTTTGGTGGGAAAATATTGCAACTACCAAACATAAGGTATTATTGTATGGAACAATTTACTCCATGGAAAAGCACGGGATAAAATTATTCCAAGAAAGACAACAAAAAGAAAATTTTGTTTCAGCTGAAATAGCCTCTCCAAGTCATCCCTCCTCTCGATTTTTCCCCTCTCACATGGAATTCAACCAGCAATTGGCTGCATTAATTTGGCAAGGTCAAGCCAAGCTGACCTATGTAGCTATTTGTTGGCATAGCCAACCAGGTATTTGGCCAGACCAAGCTAGCTGATCTCACTGCTCAACTGATCAGGCTACTCAAATTAGGTGATCCAATCAAGCTTACTCTATTGATCCGACCACTTGCTTTTTAATTTTATTTAGACTTTTAATAGATTAAACTGTTAAAAACTACATGACGTGCAGTACAGCAACCAATCCACTTTTATCATAGATTTTATTTAATTATCTTTTTAGTAAAAGACTCTACTAATTGGTTGGAATAACTAGATTATTGAAGCTTACATTTAATGATTTTATAAGTTACAACTACTTATAGTTGAGGATGTTTAGAGTAGTCAAATGAGCTTAAATTTTTCTCAACCAAGTGTTTGGATGCGTGCTAACTAAAAGCCACAGAACTCTTACTCAAAGTAGAGGGAAAAACCCAAAAGAGAACAAACAAACTGCACCCAGCTTCTTTCCTAGGAAGAGCGAGAAATGAAAGGTCCATTCCGAATAAGATTGTGGACCAAAATACATTACAAGGAGAAACTTTTTTTAGTTAAAAGATCAATAACTTTTACCAGACACTTACAGCTTAGTAGATTTATTAGAGTCTAAAAGCTAGAAAAAGATCAATATCCAAACATTTTTTTCAGATTAACCACTATACGCTTAGAACTAATTGCAGCCAAATTCTTATGAGCAAAAAGCACGGGGAAAAGCCAACCAAACACCCTTTTATATGAATAATTTAATTAAACAAATAACAACCAAACAATTATTGTTTCTTTGAGTTTTATTGTATTTCATTGAAAATTTTGTAATATTTCAACAACTTGCATGTGTAATATTTTCTTTATCAGGAAAAATAAAGATAAAATTGAAGGGGCGTGTGGGGGGCATAACCCAAAAAAAGCATGACTTTACAGAAAAGGCATTGCCAACAAATTACTGGTCTGGGTTTCTTCCTCAAATAGGATAACGAACTTTAAAAAATGACATTAATCTGCTCGTGTAATATTGTATCAACTCAGAAAATGTAAAATGACACATCAAATAGCACAAATTTCAACCTATTGTACATTGTGCCATCAAGTTCAATTGCATACACAGTAAACAACATAATTTCCATCATTAAATATTGTTTAGTCCTGCTTCATTCTGTATTGTCATGTTTGATCTGTGCATCATACACTATTTTAGATAATATCAAGTTAAAGATTTTTATGCAAAGAGATGAAGAACCTTGTAAAGTTGATGCCAATAAGACTAGAACGCATACAAAACTCAGTAGAGATACAAACGAAATATCTGAGTAGATGCTACTTAATTAGTATAATTCACATCCAAAAATTGATACTCAGCAAGGGAATAACTGAAATCAAAGTTAAATATCAACCTCATCCAAAATGAGCTGCAGCCTCACTTCTTATCTATCTATCTATTTATTTTTATCAAATGGTATAATTATGATCAGGTGCACATCTTTTTTCTCTAAAAAGGAAAATATGGCACATGCAATGAGCGAAGGAAAACAAAAACAAAATCCCAAGTAACAGATATTTTTAGATTTCAACTAGGTGTTTCCAGTATATTCAATGCCAGAATGCAGAAAAATAGCTAAAGTTCTTTTACATATTCATAAAAGGATTACAATCACAAAGTACCAGTATTGCTGCCTGTGGCGTTTGCTGCACTTGTTCGGTTTGAGACAAATCTTTCCCCTGCTTCTTAGCATCTTTCTTACCTTTTTTAAGTTTTGCCCTCCTTTCTGCTTTTGTCAGCTTAATTATGCTTTTGTCTACACCATCCTTTCCAACACCACCATCTTCATCTTCGATTTCACCATTTTCAAATATTCCTGATGTTTTTGGCACTGCCCAATGCAGCAATAATATGAACCATTCATTATTAGCCAATAAACAAAGCACTTTCACCCCAAAAAAAAGATTAATTGAAAGACAAAAGTAATGTTGGTAAAATACATGTCCGGTAGTAAAGTTTGCCATCTAAAGTTTTGACAGGAAGGGCATCAACTCGATCAACTTGAAGCCCAATTTTGTCACTTTCTTTCTGCTGCACCTTCTTTCGTAAACGTTTTTCATATAAAGCCTCCAATTCATCTTCTTTTACATCCGCTACACGAGTGACATGCCTGATGACATTCAATAAAGTTGATAGTGGAATTTAAAAAAATAAACCAAATAACCACTAGATATAAGATAGAGTCCTATCACAGAACACAGTCAAGAAAAACAAAGAATACTCTTAAAAAGAGGCAAAAAAAGCTATCAAAAAATACCACATGTTTACATTTAAAATTGCATATTCTATTCAACTGAAATTTTCAAATGTTTATGTTTACAACGTTCTTCGAAATGACTGCATTGGTGCATTTAAAGAACATAAACTACATCAAGCATCCTAAAACCGAGATTCACTGCAACTCAAAACATAAATGAACTCATGAAAAACAAAAACATTTAAGGACAAAAAGTCCACCCTCCAAAAATTTACAGCTCCATTTGGTAATATGAAATTATTTTTTAAATTTTGTTCCTAGATTCATATATATTTATATAAATAGATATATGGTAGTATGTATTTGTCCACAACTGAAAGAATGAACAAATAGAAAACAGTTCTCAAAAGAACAATAAAACCAACTTCTTATAGTTTCCAAACTCATGACACATTGTCACTAACTTTGTCTTCACTTTCAACCTCCATAACTATTCTTATTAGTGAAAATATTAAATAAGACATACGTAATACCTTCCTCTACCAAAGTTTAGTTTTTGTTTTTCGAGGAATCAAAAGACTTAAACTTCCTACGCAAAAACAAATCCACTGAATCTATTACACTAAATAAGCAGTAAATTATGCACGAGAGATCGACAATACTATTTTCCAAAAAAAAAAAAA